ATGCTGAATCTCTCCTTTGATAAAAGATATGTGGAACATATTGACAGTATCAAACCACTTAGTCCAAGCTTCAGACCATGCATCCTGATCGTAGCTCAGCTGGACCTTCATTTATCCATATTTGCTCCATAACCTTTTGATACCAGTACCCAACAAAAATCTCAGATTTTAAAACTCAATGTGTCCCACTATTTATTGTCTTTGTGGGCATGAGCCCCAGATTTTGATATCCTTCATTCCAAAACATTTTTCCTGATTTCATTCTCTCATGACCTTAAAATTGCAGTGATACAGGGTAAAAGTAGAGAGTGGGAATAACTAGATTGCTGTTCAGAAAGTCTAGTGTGGACCCATTGGACCCAGTGGTCTTCATCTATTCTTCAGTATTCTAAAATTATAAATATACCTCTGTTTTGGTGTCGGCTTTTTAACTGGATCATAAGCATGTTACTTGAAGGCACAATTTTTCAGCATTAGGTAAGGGTAAATATTTTTGCATTGCTAATCCCTAGTTGGTTATTTATTATATTGGACTTTGTCCTTAGAAGAAGGTTGTATGTACCATTGTAACTTTGCACCCAAGTACAATGACATTTTTCTGCCACAATTTTAGGCAGCATGTCATTTGACAGTGAGAGTTTTTCTCTGTAAGAGGCTTCAGAAGCTAACCACAATGATTTGAGGTTTTCTTTCGCAATACACTCCCAATGCTGGTCCTATGACATGGAGCGAGAAAGGAAAACAAAATACATTCTTAATAGTGCTTAGTAATAGTAATGGTGAATGTGGAATTGAGTAAAACTCTCAAAGGGAAAGCTTACTTTGTGCATGTTGAGGTTCTCATAGCATCGTACTGTAAAAGCTGAAGCCTGGTGTGATTCTGCCATCTGCTGCCAAAACATTAAATTGCTGATGGTAATTCCAAAAAAGAACATAGCATTTGTAATGCTCTTTACAGTGATACCTTCTTCAAACTGTGTTAACTTGCTTCAATTGTTGACCATTTATACCGACCACAAAATTGAAGCTTTCATCTCCTGGGGAAAATAAACCGAATCTAGTAGTTGAGGCAAGTTTTGGCTTTTTTTCTATAGAGATTTTGTACAAAAGCAAGAAAATGCAGTTTGCACTCAACAGGATAGGTTAGCGTCATGTCGAGCTATTCATCAGAGCTGGTAATAATTGCTGGTACACAGTATTGACAAAGCAGATTAAATGAAGATTAAAAAAAAATACACTTGTACGTACACACTAAGTTGTTTAAATGCAGAACACAAGATGGCTCGCTAGCTAAGTGACTAACATCAAACAACAGGAAAAAGGCATAATTGTTTTTTTAAGAAACTAAAAGCATTGGTGCAACAAAGAATGATTAGCCAGCTGGTGGATGTGTGAGGCAGTTCTGAAGCTGAAGCAGGAGAAGCTTGCAAAGTTGCTGAAGTTTTTAAGTCTGGTTATCAAAGTCAAAATGAAGGTTAAAAGACTTCAAAGTATTCAGTAGGAATGTGCTATACTTCACCTTGAAATGGTCTTGCGAGGTTGGAGTGAGAATGGAGCAGTGCATTATGTTGGTCAGTATCAATCAGCTTGGGGTACAATTTAGAGACAAAAGTTCATTTTTTGGAAAACTCCTCATCTAATGTTGCATTCTTTGGGTTGACGTGAAATTTTGTTTGATAATCACTCCTACAAAGCACACTGGGACTTTTCTTTCATCAGATGTGGGCATTGCTGCCTGGGCCAGCATTTATTGCCCATTCCTAGTTGAGAAAGTGGTGGTGAACTGCTGCCTTCAACCGCTGCAGTCCATATGCTGTAGGTAGACCCACAATGTTGGGTAGGGCAAGATTGCTAGGATTTTGGAAATATAATTGCTGTCCTTTCAATGTCGCTTGGTCAAAGTCAGGATGGTGAGTGGCTTGGAGGGGAACTTAGTGTTTCTATGAATCTGCTGTCTTTGTCCTTCTAGATGGAAGTGGTCATAGGTTTGGAAGGTGCTGTCTAAGGATCTTTTGTGAATTTCTGCAATGCATCTTGTAGATAGTACACACTGCTGCACCTGAGTGTTGGTGGTGGAGGGAATGGATGTGTTGCCAGTCAAGAAGGCTGTTTTGTCCAAGATGTTTGAGTGTAGATCGAGTTGCACCTCTCTAGGCAAGTGAGGAGTATTCTGTCGTACTCCTGACTTGTGTTTGTTGATGATGGACAGGCTTTGGGGTGTTAGGAGGTGAGATTTGTGGGATTGTGTTTCAATAGCAATTGAGACCGTGGTGTGGTGAAAATAGCCTCTTTATTGAGCATCTGCAATGGCACAGTTCGAGGCAACGATGGACTCCGAAGTACAGTTTTACAGTAGCCTCTTTATACACCTTTCTTACATGCAGTAAAATTTTGGCACTATAGTGTCACATAGTTTTGTCTATTGTACACAAAAGTTTATGTGACATCTGGCCTGGGGAAGCAGGAGATGGTTTAAGCACTTGCTAAATGCTGGTTGTTATTCTTGATGGGATTAGAATGTCTGTCCGATCTGACCTTGCATAATTAAGAGGTGTTAGTCTTTTTGTCTTTAAAATTAGTAATGTTAGTAAAAACACAACCTATATGATCTAAATAAGTGAGAAATTATACATGTACTAAATAAAAGGATATTAAACTGATATCCCGCAGCTGGGTCGTGAGATTTAATTTATTATTGCCAGTTTTGATAGTTCTTACAAATTCGTTCATACAGTTTCACAAAAGCGCTGTTTTGATAGTAAGTTTCTTAAAGAGGGGTAGCAGCCCTATTTAATATGTATCTAAAAAGCACATACTAGTGGAGGAGACTGTTTGATGTTCTGCAACCTATACAGGTCCTGAGAGGTAGTTGCTCTGGGCTAATTAATATTATTATCTTTCCATAGTTTTGAGTGAGTTATGGAGACACAATGTCAGGGATGGCATTGTTTTGAATAGGTTACAGTATTAACACTTATTCAAGGGTAGCCTTTGATACAGGAACAGTCTAAACGCTGCATGCAGCATGGGCTGAAACAGTAATGAGTGAGAAGGGAAGTTTAGTTTATACAATGTATTACAAAACGCAGTTGTATGAATGAATGAATGGACACGCAGTATCATAAACATAGTGTGCTTGTGAGTGAGTTGGTAAAGAGAATCATAATATAGTATCTCTCAGATTCTGCAATTTTGCTAGCCTCTGACCTGCTCTTGTATTTAAATGGCTGTTTTGGTTTCTGGTCAATGCTAACTGCCAGGATGTTGATAGTGGAAGATGAAAAGATGGTAATGCCATTTGAATGTCAAGAGGCAATGGTTTGATTCATTCTTGTTCATGGTAGTTGTAGCTTGGCATATGTGTGGTTACGTTAGTATCTGAGGTGTCATGAATCATGAGTCATGAGGAGTGCTGAACATTGTGCAATCATCAGTGAATATCATCACTACTGACTTTGTGATGGAAGGAAGGTCACTACATTAAAGCTGCTGCGTGAATACACGTTGTGGCTCTGGACGCTCTTGTTTGAAGGCTTTTATGGATGGAGCTGCATCCTCTGTGCCTGCATGTGAAAGTGTTTTGCAGTGAAATAGCAGTCGCTCTTAACAGCCCTGGAGTTACCAGAAACTGAAGTCAACAGCCATTTAAAAACTGTGTCCACAAGAGGCTAATTTGGTAATTTGGGAATGACCCCCAAAACTGTCTTCTGTCAAGGCACAACATGATGGAATGCTTTTCCTTTGCCTGGTTGAATACAGCTCCAACACCATGCAAGCAGCTTGGCACAAACCAGGACAAAGCTGTCTATTTGGTTGCCACCCTATTCAGCCCTTTCAGCATTCACTCCCCCCTCCTACTGGCAGCAATTTGTCCTACTTACTAGATACACTGCAGCAACTCACTAAGGTTCCTTTGGCAGTGTCTTTTCAAACCCATGACCTCTATTGCCTGGAAGGGTAAGGGCAGCAAATGCATGGGAACACCATCACCACCACCTGCAGGCTCCCATCCAAGCTGGGTTGGCTGTTGTTGGATCAAAATCCTGGAACTTTCTCTTAGACCCAGCACCTCAAGGAGAAAAATCACCATCATCTCCTCAAGGTCTTCAAAAGCTTGCTTACCCAACAATCTTTACATTAAGTGAAAGAGGTAACAATAGTGTCAAATGAACAGCCATTTGGAAGTTGGAGAGAGGAAGTGGAATTGTGTCGTAAATGGTATAAGATAATTTCAGAATGCGTAGGTTAGTGGGATTAATGATGAGAACAAGGGTAGTTTTGCCGTGGGCTGCGGTTGTGATGTGAACGATTAAAAGCAGTGGCCCATGAGAAATTTATCCCACGTGGGAAATCCTTCACAAAGGTCAAGTTGGCAAAGCTTTGGTTTTGGAGGTGATATTATAAGATGGTGGAACTAGAAAGGAATTGATTTTCTTGGATAAGTGGGATAGAAAGCAAAGCAGTTAATGTTATCAATGGTCTTGTAATAAATACCATTTGCAGTAGGTTCTGTTTAACATTTCCAATGGTGTGTTGACAGAAGCCAAGTTAAATTAATAGTGGAAGATAGCCAGATGATGCCTTAATTTGTTGGTTTTAGAGAGAGAGAGAGGTTGAAAGCTTTTGGGCAGAGATGCCGGGGAGGGCAGTAAATGTGAGGAACAATTGTTTTGGTAATCTCCTGGAATTTGCTGCCTACAAGGCTAGTGGAAGTGGAGATGATCAATGATTTCAAAAGAAAATTGGATGAGCTCTTGAGGAAAATAAAGATACAGGGCTCTGGAAATAGAAGAGGGGATGGGACTGATTGGTGTATAGTGACCTAGCATGGACCAAAAGGCCACCTCCTGTGTCAGCATTAATCTATGGCTCTACAACATTTTGCATTTTGGTGATCCCATCAGAAATCTATTGACAGGTCACTGGATACTTCACTCCAGCAAATCAGTACATACCTAATACCATCCCATCAGTTGGCTTTCTATTTGTGTCTTCTGTAGGTTGACCGAGTCAGCTATCTGCTACAAGAAATATACGGCATTGAAAATAAGAATAATCAAGAAACAAAGGTACCTACGGTATTTTATAATGTCTTCAATTGGACTTCAAATCCAGTAACTGTTTTGCAAATTTTATTGCAGTTGGTCTCATTTGAGTTAGTTTTTCATTTTAAAATATCACTGAACTAAATTTTAGCTTGTGGCATTTTTTCAGCATTTCAAATTGCAAATTCAATTACTGATAACCTAGACAACAAGGTGCAGGGCTGGATGAACACAGCAGGCCAAGCAGCAT